CTCCTTCAACCCCCTCCTCGACGATCTGGACTCCGAGGCCCTCACCACCTCCAGCTCCAACGACGACCGCATTGACGAGCTGGACGACGCCGTCGCAGACGACGGCGGAAACGGCAGCAGCGAGGAGATCCTCGCCGAGGAAGATGAGGAGGACGCCTCCGCCAACCAGAACGGCGCCGTTTCCTCGAATTACTTCTTCGACCCCGTGAGCGACGTCATCAGGAGAGCCTTCAACCGGCGCTCGATCGAGGAGTGGGAGGACTACGTCCCGTTCAATTTGAAGCTCACTTCCGATTTAGGGTTCAGCCAAGATGAGTCCAAGCCCGTGTTCGGGTCCGACGATGTTCTGGTAAACGATAAATTGCGGAAAAAATTGAGTGAGGTGAAGAACGTCGAGGATGCGTTGCTGTTGAAGGGGTCTGTACTGAGGGAAGGGTGGGGAGAATGGTTCGACAAGAAGGGTGATTTTTTGAGGAGGGATCGTATGTTCAAGTCCAATATCGAGGTTCTGAACCCGTTGCATAATCCAATTTTGCAGGATCCGGATGGAGCTGGAGTTACTGGATTGACTAGAGGCGATAGGGTTTACTTGAAGGGTCTTTTGAATGAGTTTAAGAAGACCCCTTTTCTGACAAAGAAGCCATTGTCTATTTCCGAATCAGAAACTGGCAAGGAGGTCAGTGATGAGAAAGTTGGGAGGACGGCGGAGAGGAGGACTTTGAACGACGATCACATCCGTAAAATTAGGAGTAAGGAGGGTCTAGCGAAAGATTATTATGCAGACGGGAAGAGATGGGGTTACTATCCAGGTTTAGATGGAAGATTGTCTTTCGGGAATTTTATGGATGCATTTTTTAGGAGAGGGAGATGTACGATGAGGGTGTTTATGGTGTGGAACTCACCACCATGGATGTTTGGTGTTCGGCAGCAGAGGGGACTTGAGAGCCTTCTGTATCATCACATGGATGCATGCGTGGTGGTGTTCTCTGAGACGGTAGAGCTCAATTTCTTCAATGGGTTCGTAAAGGAAGGGTAATTGCTTCACTATTTCATGTCGTCTAGAGTGTCTTTTACGGAATAGTTATCCTACATTATGTTTTTCCCAGTAAAGTGCGGCTTTAGTTTCTTTTTTTGTGATGTACTAACTTTGATCAGGATGAAACAAGGTGTGCAATTAAATGTCCTTTTTTTTGTTCCTCTTGTCCAGTTATAAGGTGGCTGTTGTGATGGCAGATCTTGATGAGCTGCTGAAAGATACACCAACTCATATTTTTGCTTCAGTCTGGCTTGAGTGGAAGAAGACAAAATATTACCCAACTCACTACAGTGAACTAATCAGGCTTGCCGCCCTTTATAAGTAAGCACTTTAGTTAGATCACTAGCTGTCTGGTTATGTTTGAATGGATATGATTTACGTCCCCGTACAGGTTAACTGATTCTACAAAATCCAGAGGGTATCTGATTTACGTCTCAGTACAAGTTAACTGATTCTATTAAATCCAGAGGGAATCTGTAATGATAGCTGGCTCTTCTTGTTTGAAAACCTTTGATAGTTCATCTCAGTATGGTCTTTTGAATTAGCATTGTCAAAGTCAGCACTGTAGCCTTCTTAGGACCCCCACCCCAAGAATAGAGAGCACAGTTTACATTCTATCTCACAGTTATATTGCGATGGCGATAGAGGTAATTTCACACTTTTTTCCACTTGAACAGTCTCTTCAGAAGTTACTGGAATCTTCTGGAGATCCAAAGTTGGATTGCTTTTGATTGACACCAAATTATGTCTGTAAATGTTTAGAAGTACGCACAAAGCACTTGATCTTTGTTTACAGAAGTTGGGTGTTAATATTGGCTTGCAATAGAGGTAAGGAGTGTGTATGAACTTGTGATTGCTGATATACTCGGGATGCTTCAATAATTTCGTTGTCTTCTTCTTCTTTTCTTTTTGGTGTCAAACGAACTCTTAGATATGGTGGAATCTACCTTGATTCGGACATGTTAGTGTTGAAGTCACTATCCGATCTTAATAATACAATTGGATTCGAGTCCGAGCCTGCTGGAAGCTCTTTGAATGGTGCTGTGATGGCGTTTAGAAAGCACAGGTACTAGTGTGCATTTGCTTGTGTATTTTCTTTTCTTTTCAACTCCACTAATACTTTGGTAGGTACACTGGTGAGATTTTTTTATGGAAGTGCATTATAACCTGCAAACTGTTAGTTAATTTGATACATGCAGATGGAGCAGAGACATATGTAATACTTATAGGTATAGTTTAAGTAAGATGTGGTATGTAAAATAGATGAGAAACTACGGACGCATTTGTGAAATATGAGGATGAAGGATGTGAATCAAAATATTTTGTTGATGTCTGAATTTTGTATGTCTGGAGTTTACCTTTCACAATAAAAAATATCTAGAGCCACTATTAGCGAAGTGGAACTTAATGCTTTAGTGAGATGAAAGGATATAACCTACTTGCCCTTTAGACTGAAACAAATGAAAAGTGGGGGCTCATGCTTTTCAGCATGCCATGAAATGTATGTGCATGATAATATATTCTCAGATAGACCTGCCATTTGTGTGCAGCCCATTCATCATGTCGTGCTTGGAGGAGTTTTATGCTTCATATGATGACACCGAGTTGCGGTGGAATGGTGCTGATCTTTTAACTAGAGTGGCCAACAAATTTTTGAGTAACAAAGATATTCCTAACATGGGAAATGAGCTCATATTGCAACCTGCTTCCGTTTTTTCCCCTATTGATCGCAGTTCTATTTCAAGGTATGCCTTGTCATTTATTTGCTAGCTGCTGTTTCATCCCTTCTGTTGTCCCATTGCTCTCTCTTTCTCTCTCTCTCTCTCTCTCTCACACACACACACAAACACACACACAAGCTAGCTAATTTAAAGATAAAGATGTCCAAATTTTTAATAAATTGTAATCTGTTGACAGATACTTCACTGCCCCGGAAACAGAGACTGAGAAACTCGAACAAGATCGTCTCTTTCACAAAATATTGAACCAGTCGGCCACCATTCATTTCTGGGACAGCTTAACCTCTGCTCTAATTCCCGAAACTGACAGCCTTATTTTCAAGTTGCTGAACCGTTACTGCATTCGTTGCTCGGATGTGTTGTGATATCTATCAGAGTAAAATTTGTTAAACCATTGCTCTCAAGTTCTGGACTAATATTTTAGCCACTTTGACATGAGTTGATTCACAAGGTTGTAAAGAGCACAAATGGGAGACTTTTATACGATACAGAGACCAAAGAGCTGTGATGTAGCTGTATATGATAGTGTGGTCAGTGTATCCCATTTTGCCATTTGTTGTGAACATGCAGGAAATTAAGATCAAGCCAATATATTATAAAGTCTTTTATCATGTGTTGGGGCTTTTCTTTCTTGTTCGCGAATTCCTGTTTAGTCGACCAATTATTCCATTCTTGAGGATTGTTGAACTAGAAAAATTTCTGGAAAGGCTGAAAATTACACTTGTTATGTTCGTGTATGAGAACCCTTTATTCAATTCCCTTATTATGCACACATGGCATACATATGAGATCAGGTACAACCAAAGCTTATTCAGAAACTAAGTTCTAACATCACTATTGAGGTAGTTTTGCTCTTATCAGGTACTTAGCACGCACTTTCCCAGCCGAGGGTTCCACAAATACTGCATCAGAAACCTCCGCCCGTTCACTCCATTCACATTATAACCACGTCCCTTTCGATCTGCCGCAACTGTCCCCGGGTAACCTCCACCCGCACCCTCACCATACACACCCAAACACACATCAGCTATCTCGTTCGGCATCGTATCTTTCCCTCCAAACCACCCGTTGTTCAGCGGGTTAGTCGCCGCCTCTGCCAGCTCGTGCCCGATCACAATCACCATCCCGTCCACGTCAGCATTGTCGTTCGGCGGCTTCAGCGACTTAAACGAGGGCTTTAGATACTCGGGCAGCACGAAAGGGTACGCGCACTGGTCGGGGCAGCGGGCCCCGCTATTCCCGACCCACGCGTACGGCACCACGCCCCCCACCACGTGTGCGAACGTGAAGTGGTGGAAACCGCAAGCCCCGTGGCAGAAGTCCTGGACCGCCACGTCAGCGGAAGTCAGGATCAGGTACATCCCGCTGGCGAAGTCCAGCTCATCAGCAAAGGCCTTCTTCACGATGTCTTGCATGGATAGTCGCGTGAGGTTGTGGCCGTGGGAGTAGTTTGGGTCGGGAGATTCGGACGAGAGGTTTACGGTGCTCGTGACGTTGGAGTTCGTCTGGTCTGTGTAGAGGGTTACGGTTCGCCACCAGTCGGAGACAGAAGGGCTTTTGAGAGCTCGGGTGGAGAGTGAGCTGACGAAGTCTCGGATGATGTTTTGTTGTGTGGGGGTCCACTTGCCGTACCATATTATGTGGAGGTTTAATGGGTTTGATGCTAAAACGGGTCCCATGTGGTAAGATGGTTCGGTTTCCTGGCTGGATGAGAATGTAGAGGGTTGAGAAAATGAGGCATAATACAATATGAGGATCATCAGCATNTGTTGTGTGAGTGACTATAGATTTAAGTAATTAATGGGATATTGCATAACAGCTCTGCTATAAATAAGCATAAGAAACAAATGGAAACTGAATAGGAATCATGGACTTGGATTTGGAAGAAGATGAACAGCATGTCAACTGTCAAGTATTCAGTCATTTTCATGCTGTTAATTCATATAACATATGACCTTGTGAAGATTTTTTTTTCTGATAAGTTCTTTATTTCATCATGGACAATCGAAAAAGGTAAGATTTTTGTCTAACTAGACCTTGATAATTTCTTCGTGCTACATGCACGTTTGCGCGTTGATTCAATTGTTCAATTTAACATAGCGGTGATCTAGTCTATTTTGAATGATGCATAAGACAAATATATCCATTTAATCAACTATAACTTGATTCACTTAGTAAATTAAACTAATTAGGAGAGGAAAAAGGACCAAAAAAATGAAATGCGGTACACCTATGCTGGAAGTTCTAAGCTAAAAGTCATGCTACTCTATTTATAAATTGAAGTATATTAAATAAACATGATTAAAAAATCATTGCACTATTCTCATTGTAATATTATCAAAATCAGATAGTTCCAACTCAAGAAAATACACATGATAAATAATCTATTGTGCTTTTCATTATGATATTACCAATATTACAAGATCAGATAGTTCTAACTCAATAAAATACACATGATAAATAATCTATTGCGATTTTCATTATGATATTACCAACTCAAGAAAATACACACGATAAATAATCTATTGCGATTTTCATTATGATATTACCATAATCAATTGTTCTAATTTTGCTAATATTTAATTCGATACCAATTTCCAATTGCTAGCTATAAGAAAAGATACCCATGAGACAAAATAAAAAGTGAACAGTTTTATTATTTTAAAAAAACTGTCAGCACCCACGTGTTTGGAACTTGATAACCTCGTGAATTAGCATAAAACATAAATTATTAAAAATTTTCACACTGCAGTCATATTTGCATTGACTATAGAGTGGATGATTAAATTCATTTGCCTGCCAAGTCTTTTCAAAAGGTAAAAGTAGGATTGAAATTGAACTATTTTTTTCTTAAATACTGTTAAATTAAATTCAAAAAGCTAGTAATCAATTAGTTATTAGAAACATTTTAACTATCAAGTGACATAGAAAGAATCGAAACAATTTGCAGCAACATAACCTATAACGAATGGTATTAGCCCCGTCCAAAGGGGCTAATTAGCTCAAATCCTTAAATTGCTTATGTTTCCTCTCCTCTGGCCGATTGCTCTGCCTCGCTCGTGTCTCTTGAGACGGTTGGCCTTTGGCCGGTGCATCCTCTATCCCCTCAATGTCTTCCCATAAAAGAAATATTATTTTAATAAGATATTCCTAATTATTTGGTTTCACATCATTTTAGATACCACAAAAAAATGTATTAAAGTGAGCATTATCTATTTTTTTTAAATTATTTCTCCACATAATTTAGGACCTAACTTTATTATAATCATAGTTTTATAAAATTAAACCCAAAATATTTCGGTGAAATTAGATTCAAACATTATGAATGCTCTCATGTACTAGTACAATGAGTGTTTCCTATTATTATTTTTAGTTTGGCATCACTGTTTTTATATCTTTCTAGTACATGTAGTCTACTACTTGTAGTATGGTTCTGGCCTTGAAGAAGTTGGACAGAGCGGTGCAAATATTCGGCCTGGTCCAAGTTTGGTTATATTCTAATGCTGGGCCGATTGCAAGAATGATGAGACAAGAGTTGGGCTTATCGGCTGGCCCAGGGTTGATCTGGATTTCATCAGCTGGCCATTGTCGATCTGCTTTTAGAGAGAAACGATATATATCGCTTGTCAATGCTCATCATGTTGACCTTTTTTTTCAGTTTCTTTAAATAAAAAAATGTTGGTATAGACTATAGACTTTAGATTAATTATTATTTAATCATTTGTCCTTTTTTGACTTTTTTGGATCAACATTGAATGAGCAATTTGAATCACTATTTACCAAAACAAACAAACAAACACAGCTGATAAACGGATCATAAATAAATAAAAGAAACAGAGGAAAAAAGCAAGTGGATGATTAAAAGAAACATAGAAAGTGGGACTTTAGATGAGATCTCCATTTTTTCCGTTTTCAGCTCAGCTAATCCACCCAACTCCGATCACGTACACTGCACCTGGAATCACGAAATTCGGACACAGCACCTTCTCCACTCTCCCCCATTTTTCTCTCAAGGTAAAAGCTTTTTTCTTTTTCCCTTTTCTAGTTACAATCTCTTGTATGTATGTCTCTAATTTCTTCATATTAACGTTCTGAATTTTCTTCAAAGACCTGAAATTAGCGATCTCACTTTATATTAATCTGCCCTGCTAAAGATAAGATTTTTTAGTGTTTTCAAGAGCTCATTTTTGTTGGGAGGTTGTCGGAACCAAAAACGGGATCATAATTTATTCTGGGGTCAACTGGAAACGAAGGCAAGAAAATGAAAATTAAGCTATAATACTAAAAATTGAAAAACAGAAACAAGTTTGTGATCTGTGAAGCTTCATATTTTGATGTGCAAACAGCAGTTAACTGAACATTGATTCTCTGCTCGAAAGATTCGTGCTTGACGGTAGATTATCAGTTGATGAGTAAGTTGTAGAAAATGAAAATTAAGCTTTATTACTATAAAGAAAAATTGAAAACAGAAACAAGTCTGTGATCTGTGAAGCTTCATATTTTGATGTGCAAACAGCAGTTAACTGAACATTGATTGTCTGGCTCGAAAGATTCGTGCTTGACCTTGACTGTAGATTATCAGTTGATGAGTAAGTTTGTAAAGTGTTTATTTATGTGTTTTATACCAAACCCTTTTCAACTAAATCTCAGAACGTTATTCCAATGGCTCGTTCGGCTCTGGATGAGATGTCGGGTACTGGGGCCTTTGTGAGGACCCCATCCACTTTTCGTAACTTAATTTCAAGGGAACCCGATTCTCCTTTCCCAGCCGAGCCCGGAAGATACCATCTGTACGTGTCGTATGCTTGTCCTTGGGCATCAAGGTGCCTCGCGTACCTTAAAATCAAAGGGCTCGACAAAGCTATCAGTTTCAGTGTAAAGTTCCTATCTTTCTTAAATATAGATAATGAAATGAAAATGCCAAATATGGGGTTTTGATTTTGGCTTATTTTGATCTTGGCTTATAGTTAGTTCAAAGGCTGTACAAAGCTATCAGTTTCAGTGTAAAGTTCCTCTCTTTTAAATATAGAGATGAAATGTAAATGCCAAATATGGGATTTTGATTTTGGCTTATAGTTAAGTTAAAAGGGCTCGACAAAGCTATTAGTTTCAGTGTAAAGTTCCTTTCTTTTTAAATAGACGATGAGAAGAAAATGCTAAATATGGGATATTGATTTTGACTTATTTTGATTTGGTCTTGTAGTTAGTTTAAAGGGCTTGACAAAGCTATCAGTTTCAGTGTAAAGTTCCTCTCTTTTTAAGTATATAGAATGAAACAAGAATGCCAAATATGGGATTTGGATTTTGGCTTATAGTTAACTATCTTTCATCTTATGTCAGTCGGTTAAACCGATATGGGGACGAACAAAGGATACAGACGAGCACATGGGATGGGTTTTCCCAGATTCGGATACTGAGGAACCGGGTGCCGAGCCAGATACCTTAAACGGAGCAAAAAACATTCGGCAATTGTACGAGCTTGCTAGCACGAATTACTCGGGGAAATACACAGTTCCGGTAGGTTCCACCCCATGAAAGTAAATGCAGTGATAATAAGTTTATAACAAGAAAAAAACTATTGCTTGGGTTTAGTGATCTTCAAAATCTAACTCTTTAAATCTTGAGTTTTGTCTTCATTTTAGGATTATATGTCACCTCAGTATTTGTAAATTGTGATGGGAAATGAATTTTCTTTTCTCTGTGTGTGTGTGTGTGTGAAAGTGAAACAATTAGCCTACATCTCCTCTGTTTAGCTTTAAAACCATCTCTTACATTTTTTGGCAGCTGTAAAGTTCTGAAAAAACAGTTTCTATTCTGTCTGTTAGGTTCTTTGGGATAAAAAGCAGAAAACGATTGTGAACAACGAGAGTTCGGAGATAATCCGCATGTTAAACACCGAATTCAATGACATAGCAGAAAATGCTTCGTTGGACCTTTATCCTCCTCACTTGCAAGCCCAAATCAATGAAGTAAACGATTGGATATATGATGCGATTAACAACGGCGTTTATAAATGTGGGTTCGCCAAAAAACAAGAACCTTACGACGAGGTATAATAATATAACTAAGTGTACCTTCCATTTTCCAAAGCATTGTACTAATTGCTTTTTAAGAACTTTGATTTAATGTTCAATGTTGTTGTTAATCTCCATTTTCTTTCTAAGGCTGTAACAAAATTGTACGAAGCTTTGGACAAATGCGAAGAGATACTCAGCAAGCAACGATATTTGTGTGGCGACACACTAACCGAGGCAGATATCCGCTTGTTTGTTACTCTCATAAGATTTGACGAGGTACTAATTCTTGTAACCATTTTTTTTTTAAAGAAAGAGTCTTTGCCTGATGAGAAAAAATATCAAAATACAGAAAAACATTGGCAATTAGTGTCAAAGATTGAATTTTAACTGGAAATTTTTTCGTGTATGTGTTGTGTTGTTATAGGTGTATGCCGTTCATTTCAAATGCAACAAGCGTTTGCTGCGCGAGTATCCTAATATCTTCAATTACACAAAAGACATATTCCAAATCCCGGGAGTTACCAGTACAGTTCACGTGGAGCACATTAAGAAGCATTACTATGGAAGCCACCCATCGATTAATCCTTTTGGGATTATTCCTCACGGCCCAAATATCGACTATACTTCTCCGCACGACAGGGATAGGTTTTCTAAGTAAAATTATGTGTGTACTGTCCAAGAATGCTACTTGAACCTTTTTCTGTATTTGCTGAATATCTCATAAGTTGTTTGCCCTTTTTTTCCTCTTTTTTTGTTCTGTTATGGAGAGTGCAACCTGTGATGCTAAACTGGTGATTGAAATGAGAGGAGTGTTTGTTGTATGTATTGATGTTTTTCAGTTGTGGTGAAGAATGATACTGTTAATTGAAATGAGCTTCCAAGAAATAAGAATTTTTATATAATTTTTTATAGTTCTGTTGAATATGATTCGAGTTTGATTCGAGTTTGGTTAGTTAGGGCTTGTTTATATACAAATAAATTGATTTTTTATTAGTTTTTTTGGTTAACCATGATTAATTTTGAAAAAAATTAATTTGGTTCGTTTTTTATGGGTTATTAAAATAATATTTAAAATAGAATGATTAAAGTTGATTTGATATTAAAGTATGAAACAAATTATGGGATGTGGTGGGTAATTAAACATACGTGAATAGATAAACAGTGAATTAAAATTAATGTGATATGTAACAATAATTGATTAATAATATTTAATCATATTGATAATATTGAGGATAATGAACTTCAAATAAAATTAAATTAGATTTTGAGCTGAGACTGAATTTTTTTATGATAAATTAATAAACCAACAAGCCCTTAATAAGCAACAAGTGAAATAGTTAAATTCAAACAATTGTTACTACAAGTTTATGTTGTTGTATTTGTTTTTTATCAATTTTTTTTCCAAAATGAGAGAATATTATTAGAACTCCAAAAACGACTACTCAACATTACTCTAAACACATTAATATTTAAAAATAATTGAATTTTTTATTTTTATTTTTTTTATGCGGAAAATTTCTTTGTCACTCATATAATATTTAGACATGTTCGGCCCGTGGCCCGAACCGTGAACCGGTACCGGCCCGGACCAAACCGGCACCGGTACCGGCATGAACAGTACACGGGCCATTAACCGGACCGGGCCCAAAGCGGTCCGGTTACGGTTCAATGGTTTTCATTAACCGGTCCCGGCGGGCCGGGCCGGGCCGGGACCGGTTCCCGTTTTTCCGACGGGTCGTAGTTCATTTTATATATATATATTTTTTTAACCCGACGGTTCAACGAACCGCCGGGCCGGGCCGGTTCAAATGAACCGGCCCATAAGAATTGCCGGGCCGGTTACGGGTCCAACAATTGAGGCCCGCGGGGCCGGGCCCGGACCCGGCACCTGGCCATGTCTAATAATATTGCCCCAAATTATTATTTAATTCTACTTCGGAAAATAATATAATAATAATAAAAGGAAAAAATGCAGCTGATTTCCATGGCACCAAACTGCACTCCGCCCCTTTCACCGCAGGTTCTTTGCCTTCGCTCATCATTTTTTTTTTCTCAATATTGTCATATTACCTACGAGACGCATAATTTCGATAATTTCTAGGTTTTTGATGGAAGGAGAACGCAGAGTTTCGGCGAGCGCGATAGCAAATGGCACAATCAACAGGTGAAGCTGTTGAGAATCTTGGCCCCGCCATTAATGGCTGCTGCTATAGCCTTATCTCCTATTTGTCACCCTCCTGGTAAATCGATCCCTTATCTCTATAATCTGTTGGAAATTAGGGATTCTAATCGATTACTGAGCTGAGCTTCACTGTTTTGTCTAGTGTCACAAATTACATTTTAGAGCTAAATTCACGATAAATAAAAAAAAGGAACCTACTTTGATTGATGGGCTGTGTCACGCATGAATTTGTGATGTGATTATAGGTTTAGAATTGGAGATTTTTTTTTGGCATATCATTCAAAAACAAAGTGATGAACATCTTTACTTTTTTTGGGTTTTTATTTTGTATTTGGTGGTGTTAATGAAACATCTTAATTGAAAGAAAATGAATGGTTGGCAATTTCTCTACCTTACTAAGAATTTGTGATGGTAAAAGATATTCCCAAAGTGAGGCTAAATGGAATGTGTTCATTTGAAGTTCTTGGACAATGGATTTTCTGCTGGAGAATCAAGGTTTTAGAGTTTTTTCAACAGTCTGATTCTTACTTCTTAGTAGCTAATTTGCTTTCGATTCGTTTTATTTCCTTTTATTTCCTCTGCATATTCATTTTCTATCTCTAAATTTTCAGAGAGTAAATTTATCCGTTGCATTTACGTTCAGCTGTGAACATCCAACAACCTGAAAATTGAAATCTCTGTGTCTTACATACTTTTCCAGTGTTAGATTAGTTACAAAGAATACAGAAAATACGAGCCGTTTTTTGTAATCTGCAATTGATGTCTCAAATTTATGACTTCCTATTATGCAGTGTCATTAGGGCAAACTTTAGATGCTCAGAAAGGAGCCACCTTGTTTCAACGGGCTTGCATAGGATGCCACGATGCTGGAGGAAATATAATACAACCTGTTAGCATATATTTATATATATATATATACAAGATTAAAATTCCTTTCAATTTCTGGATATCTACTGAACTAACTCCATTGTATTTCAAGGGTGCAACACTCTTTCTCAAAGACCTACAGAGGTAACAAGACTACTTATAGCTGTCTGTTTGTTTTACATACCTTACTTATAGCTGTCTGTTTGTTTTACATACCTTGTTTGTTTTGCCTTTCGCCTTTTCTTTTTTTTTTTTTCTTGTGTGTGTCAATAAAAAAAAAACTTGAATAGATAAATTCATAAAAGGATTACATCGAGTCAAAATGCAATATGTGAATGTCGTCATTCTCTACAAACATACCCGGTTTGAAACGAGTTCTATGGCTATGTTCTGTAAACCTAGCTGAGACGCTAGCTGGTAGTTTTTAAGTAAATTTCGAGTTTATAGTTGATAGGTTATGACTTATGTCTAAAAAACTAGTTTATACGATAAAAGTGTTTAGTAAAATTAACTAGCTGAAATAAAAATTTTAATGAGATTATTTGAAAAACTAAACAAAGAAATTTATGAGATAAGCTCGAATTTTTTATGCTTATGGGAAAAACTACACAAATAAGTTTATGAGAAGCTTATAAGCTAATTAAATAAGCTATAAGCTAGCTTATATGCTTACCAAACACATGCTATATTTCTGCAGAAATGGAGTTGAAACTGAAGAGGAGATATATGGGATTACTTACTATGGGAAAGGAAGAATGCCGGTAAGTTTCATATCAACAAGAATTTATCTACCTTTCATTTTTTTTAAGTGCATTTAAACATAAGATGCCACGTTGATGCAGGGATTTGGCGAGAATTGCATGCCTAGAGGTCAATGCACGTTCGGGCCTCGACTAAGCGAAAACGAAATTAAACTACTGGCTGAGTTTGTGAAGTCACAAGCCGAGCAAGGTTGGCCCAAAATAGAAACTGAAGGTGATTAGTTCTTTCTCAAAATATTCTTTGATATGCTTAGCTAATTCTCGGTACAAATAATGTAGCAGTTTCTCATATAACTGTAAACTGTGTTTGATGTTAGAAATGCTTTCCTGGGCCGGCCCATAATTGTTGTGTAATTCCTCAGCCCAAAGTTTGCATAATTTGGCCTATTTATGCGGGAATGAGTAAATGGCCCTAACAAGTGCATGGCTTCATAATCTTTGTTAAAAGTCAAAAAAAGCAAAAAATAAAAATAAAATAAAAAAAACGACGGTATATAACCAACATGGGATAGAAAAATCAAACAACGTTGTACAATGACCTGCATTTTTGGCCCTTAGATGTGTAGAAATAATTGTCCATAAATCTCACGGGCGATTAAGTAAGCCACATGAATCGAATAGAGACAATTTTTCTGCACTGAATAATCAATTCTGCCGCCCCACTTTCAATGTGTGTACCCAAGTTTGGATTTAGCCAACTTTGTCAAAGAATCAATTGCTTTTGTAATCCATAACTACTTGTATTTTGCTTATTTTGCCCAATTACAGACAAAGTACTAGACAGTATATATAACTGAAACAATTAAGTACTTGAAAAACCTATTTTAGCAATAACAAAAATTACAGCCCCTCTTTCTCATGTCCACCATGCTATATGAAATTAGTATACCATACATCACAGGTATATGATTGAAATATCACGGAGATATTGATACATGGTTAATGGAAACATCTTAATCAATGTTAGAAAATGTGTGTATCGTACCCGAAAAACATATGGTTGATAGATCTCGATATATTGATATGATATGTGACTGATAAAAATATTTTAATATGCTCACGATGGGTAGACGAGTAGTTCTGTACAACAATATTCATTTTAAAAGAAAATGTAATTAAGTACATAAATAAAATTGGAATGTTCATCTATATATTCCATGACAATATATATAGAAAACATAGAATTTTGTTGTAAGACAATTTAATGGTTACCTCTGTTAAACATTTTAAACAAAAATGTGAGGTGGTCCACTGGTTCGACTATCAAATGCTTACTTTTATTTATAATGTTTTTTAAAGCATAATATTTAATTATAAAAAATGAATAATTAGTAGTTAAATGTCTTATTGCAACCTTATGATATAGAAAAGTTTGTCGATATGACAAGCACCAACAATGCACCAAACATTAATCACATGGAGATAGAAAGCCATTAAGCTAAATTACAAGGCAAAACCATGTGACCCTATCCATTAATCGATTACAGTTTATATGCAATAAAAACTATTGATTTGTGGTCCTTTCCTTTAGTTTAGGGCAGCCGTTGTCTTTTTTATTTCAATTTATTTTGTTAATCATTGACACATCATAAATCCAAAGCCAAACACAAAAAACAAAATCATAAAACTCCTCAACCTTTTTTCCCCAGCCTCAATTATTTTTATTTCACCGAAACCATCATATAAATTGAAATGATGTATAGAAAAATGGGATGTAGAACTTGGCCTTACAAGATTGACGTAATAAGTAACTAGTGAGGATTGAAAAGTGATATTTAAATTAAATAGTTAAAGGACATACATTTAAGCTAATTGAGACCATTGCATGAGTAATTCAATTAGAGCACAACAATCCTTGTTATCACAATAATTAATTAAGAAAATTATGGTCTAATCACATTGATAATTAAAAACTATATAGCTAGTTGAGGACTAATTAGGTACATGCCAATATAAGAGTGGTCCTGTGTTAGCCAGCCAGCTCCTTTAATTTAATTTCATTTTAAAAAAATATAATAACATAAAAATTTTCTCCTCATATGACATATCCTATTTGAAGGGAGAAGAAGGGTTTTGGACAGGCAAACAAGTCAGTGTCAATAGCTGTAATAAATTAATAATAGGCCACAATAGTAGAACAGCCATTAAAGCCCTCAGCACTCAGCAGTATCTGTATTATATACATGCATGGCTTCTGTTGATACCAAAATAAGCTCTCTTAATAGGGAAAAAAAATATTTGCAGATTGGCCCCAGAAATTCCTTCTATTTACTCTTGTGTGTTGGTCTGAGAGGTTGAAGCTGCCAGCATGATCTGGTTAAATTTGATGGCAAGTTATTGTTATTTTTATTTATTTACTTATTTTTTTTTCAACGATAACAGCCTTTCAAGAATCTTGATCGATCTTAATTTTGTGTATACCCAAAAAAAAAATAAAAATGGAAAACTTGTTTTATTTTAGATCTCTCAATCAACAAGAAATGATTTATGAGAGGCCCATATATCTACCTTATGTAAATTCAAATTGAATTTTTTTATCAAATGCTTTCAATGTAAATACAATTTTTTTTTTTTTTTTTTTTTTNTGCTTTCGAAAATTTTAGTCGTGATCAGGTCATCTAGCAGCTTCAATCGCTCACCAACAACACCGATCGAATTGCATATTTTATATATGTGTTCTTCATGTTCTCAGGTGAGTTCTTGCTTATTTATATGACATTTTTTTTTCTAATTATTTTTTCCTTTTTAATGATATATATGCTCATCAGGAACATGGGGTTGAATGAATTATACACTAAGCTCGGATCCAATTTATTTAACAAAACTTTGTAAAATGAAACTTGAATAATTAATTAGTAATAGCTTTGTTTGTTTGAAGCTCGAATTGTATATCTATTTTTGTCTCACCCGGTCGAAAACCCTATCGTCCGCAAGAAAATTATAATAGTACTTTATCTTAAGAATCTTAGATTGCCAATGACCTCTTGGCCTAGTGGTAAGAGTGAAGCACTCTTGACATGAGGTCAAGGGTTCGAGTCCCCCGGAGCGCGATGGTGGAACAATTAATACTGAAGACTAGAAAAGACAGTGTGGGAGGCTGAAACTCGGTGGGAACCAGCGGCTGAATAGGTGGGGCCAGCATGAAGTTGGGGGGGCCAGCGAGCGACCACTTCGGTGGGAACCAGCGGCTGGATAGGTGGGGCCAACTTGAAGCTGGGAGTTGGGAGGGCGGCTGGATAGGTGGGGCCAACTTGAAGCTGGGAGTTGGGAGGGCGGCTGGATAGGTGGGGCCAACTTGAAGCTGGGAGTTGGGAGGGCCAGCGAGCGATCACTTCGGTGGGAACCAGCGGCTGGATAGGTGGGGCCAACTTGAAGCTGGGAGTTGGGAGGGCGGCTGGATAGGTGGGGCCAACTTGAAGCTGGGAGTTGGGAGGGCCAGCGAGCGATCACTTCGGTGGGAACCAGCGGCTGGATAGGTGGGGCCAACTTGAAGCTGGGAGTTGGGAGGGCGGCTGGATAGGTGGGGCCAACTTGAAGCTGGGAGTTGGGAGGGCCAGCGAGCGATCACTTCGGTGGGAACCAGCGGCTGGATAGGTGGGGCCAACTTG